CATTTCTATCTCCTCTCATAAGCAGATGATGTAGTAGTACTGGCATTAACAAAGGTTACTTTACAGAGACTACGTCCTTCTCAGAATTCTGCTATGAGAAAGTTTAGAGATCAGATATGAAAATAACTTATTGCACAGCCCATAAACTTCATAGACTATAGATGGACACTAAATAGTCATGAGATGCAACAGACCATACAATTTAAGTACCTAGGTAATAAAATATCTCAGAAAGCTTTAGAATACACAATTCAGAGGAATCAACTTTGGCTATTCAAAACTTATACAGATCTTGGGAAGTATTATTTCTAGCTGCAATTAAATGATTTATTGCTAAAGACCAAATACAGCATCTGTACACAGATAGGACCCTATAAAAACATCTTAAGATTGGAATCCCTATGGTCTAATCTTTTTATGGTCTGGTCTGTCTGATTTCCTCTGACAAATTTATCAGCAAATGGTAAGGGGCCATCTTACATAATTAAAATTACTGTGACTTCTCACTGGAAGCCACTTTAGCCTTAGCTCATGATCATACGAAAGCCAAGGTAAGGCAGAGTGTAACATATACAGAAAGTCAGGAAGCAAAATTCTATGTGGCAGCAGGCGTCTACTTTGGGTACTCAACCTTTGCCTGCCACATATGTGAGATCGATTGACACATCAGACAATTATAGACAAGATACGACAGTAGAAAAATTTAATGCTTTGCCTACAGCTATCTTGGGACAGTGGTATAAGAATATTTCATACAATGAATAGCTTTGCCCATGTAATTGGTTATCTTGAAACTACTGCTCATTTTCTTATATGATGTAGCCTTTGCCAGGAAATTTAGGCACACTATTTGACTTTATAAATAGCAAATTATTAATGGAGATTCAACCCACCCAGGTTCATTTTATCTCTGATATTTGCTATCTGATTGAATTAACACTCTGAGATGGTAGTGTTCCATCTCAAAGCTGAGACAAGGAGATGAGAAGAAAAGAACTGTTAAGTTGTTCTAAGATAAACTATCACTCGACATAAAACTGGGAAAGATGTCAAGTTATAGAAAGAAAAGTTTCCCTTAGAATGAAATTTCTTTCAAAGATGTGGTGGGGTAATATTTTAGAAAGATTTTAAGATGTATGCTCAGAATTGCTTTTCTCAGAGTGATAAGAAAGTTGTTCTTTCCTACTGGGATGGACTGTTGTCTCTGTGACATTAATTAAAAAACAGCATGCGTAAACTACATTAAATATTGACAAAATAAATCAGAGCAAAAACTATTAGAGAAATTCCCTGGTAGACAGAGTCATCTTCAGATCTCAGACTGACAGTCCCCAATGTCAGATGATAAAAGGAAGTAGAAAATTCTACAATATTCTGAAATGAAAATGTGAACTAAATAAAAAAACTTTAGTCTCCTAGGAGATTATGGAAAGGCATTCTTCAGTAGCACAAGATGCCAAAACAGTGATAAGCCTATTATGCCAGATGTTCAAACTGGCTTAAGAAAAGACCTCAGGAACGTGAGATATTATTGTTAATGCCCACTGGGTACAGTAACTGAAAAAGCTAAAGAATACCAAAACAAGCCCATATGTGCTTCATTGATTAGAGAAAGGTCTTTGATTGTGTCAGTCATATCAAGTTGTGAATATGCTTAGAAAAAGGATAATCTCAGAACATTTCATTGTTCTGATGAAAAACCTATGTACAGACAGAACATAGTGAGACAGACTAACTCTAGTTGGCAAAAGAGTGAAACAAGACTGTACACTCTCCCTTTATCTATTCAACATTTATGCTGAGTATATATTATGAGAAGGTAGATTGGGAGACGATGAGTGTGGGTTTTAAAATTTAAAAGAAGTAATATCAAGAACAAGTGCTATGCTGATAGCCAAAAATGCAACTGATCTGCAATCTCTAATAATGAAAATCAAGGTGAAAGGAAAAAAATTAGATTAACATGAAATACAAAGAGGAATAATCTAATAGATAACAAATACAACAACCAGTCTTAGAACTGATAATGAAGATACTGAAGCAATATCAGAAGCAATAATTACCTTCTGGTTTTTAGGATCAATCATCAAGAGAAAAGGAATAATGCAGGGAAGAAAGAGTAGCACCAGTGAACTTCCAATGAAGGCTTTGGAAAAGACATTCAATGGCAGTGTCCTAAATCTACAAAGATTAGACTAGGCAAGCAATTGTATTCCTTCTAACACTCTATGGAAATGAAAGTTAGGCTTCCAAGAAGCAGGATAAAAAGAGTATTGACATTTTTGAAATTTGGTGTTGAGAAAATACCATGAGATTACTGTGGACAGCCATGAAAATAAATCTATCAAAAAACCCAAATCAAACCAGAGTTCCCACTTGAGGCACTTATTAGCAGGCTCATATTATCTTGTTTTGGACACATTATGCAAAGACCTAGTTCTCTGAAGAAGGCTCTGATGCTGAAAAAAGTTGAAGGAAAGAGGAGAAGAAGAAAGCCAAAAGCAAGGTGGATAGACTCAGTTATATTGTCAATGGGGACTTCATCAGAAGTCCTTTAAGGACCCGGTTAGGGACAGATTGTCCTGGAGAAATTCTCTGTACTCACTAAGTGTCAACACTCACTTGACGGCACATAATCAATCAATGTCAGAAGATGACTGTAACATGCGATGTAAAAGACATTCTGATATATCTAACAGGACCAGACAATTAGGAAAATCTCTCTAATAAATTATAAAAATTTCTAGTATTACTGTTAAATCGTTGGACATGAGATGAGCAACATATAAAATTTATTAAAAAAAAATGCATGCATGCATGCATACATACATACATACATACATACATACATACATATATACGTACGTACTATAGAAATCAATTCTTGAATTTATTTTCTTCCATTTCTGGACAAGGCTTTGACCATTTAGGGTCACTATGTGCTCTACTGGAACAATAAATGTTTTATGGAAATGAATGCAAATTAGTTGTGATTCCCTTCATTCTTTGGGATTCCCCTCATTCTTTACTCTTTGCTTTTTCAATCTACTGCCTTTTTATGTCCACACAGAGCCATCTGTTTTACAAATTCAATATTTAATCTAAGTCATTCAGTGCTCTTTCTTTCTTTATATAGCATGGAAAATAGCCTGTTACCACATTAAGCACAATAAATTATATAATTCCCTAATATATATGAATTCATTTATTTCCTTAGATGCACAAGTGAGCATCACCCTGACTTTCACTAAAGGAGCACTGTTTGTCATACCTTTACTATGCAATAAAGTAGAAGAGTAATTTTTTTTCAAAGTCCAAAATTAAATAAACAGATTCAATTTTGTAAACTAGTAGTTTTAACATCAGCAATTGCACTTAAAATCTAAGATTTATATAAAGCAATAACCAATTAATTCTCTTTGTGGGTGCAGTCTGAAATTACAACTTATCCCAGTTGTAACAGAGATATGCAATACATGGGGAATGAACAAAGTACATTCCATATTTTAAAATATGCACCAATGGTCTGTCATAACAAAAAATATTTTATTAATGATATTTATTTTCATAGTAATTTCTGGCTTCCAATCCTGGAAATGTTTGCTTGATCTTGGATGTTCTTATAAACAAAATGTAAAAATGTAAAAAGGGCATCAAGCATCATTTTTACAACAAATATGGTTTAATATCATCTGTTATTGTCTGATATGTCTAATTATGTCTCTTCAAGGAAAATATGATTAAAAGACCACATAAATGTATTTGGAGATTATATATTATATGATGATATATTTTTAGGTATCAATGAAATAGCACAAGTTTTGCATGTAGAAAATAACAGGTTCAATAAAGACAATGCAGAAGTTGTCTACCAATAACTTTAAAGAGACTGACACACAGAACAGACATTATATTGCATTTTCCTCAGTGACAGAACTGCCCTAGGGATTAGGGTGACATTGGCCATATTTGCCTCTCATGAGTTTGGGCCACCAACCATTTCCAGAGGGCAGGAATAAATGATGTTGCCTTCTATTCATCTCCAACTCATCATAAATAGAATGTCTGCCTGTATTTTCCTATTTCAAGATGACAATAATGTTTTCTGGCTTATGCTGGTTCAAGTGCTGTGATCCAGTTTGCATGCTGTGTTTTACATTGTCTTAGGCAGCCCACTTTACTTCGATTACCCACTGCACAAAGGCAGAAACAGTCTTATCTCATTTTTCCTCCTTTCCTTCAAAATGGCCTTGTGAAGCTTCTGAATGCCTTGGCAGTTATGACATTTGCTTGACATAGACAAATTGTTTCACACACACACACACACATGCAAACCACATATACACATGAGAGAGAGAGAGGAAGGGAGGGGGAGGGGGAGGGGGGGAGATAGTTTTTCCATTGTTGAGCTACCGACTTCTCCAGTTGGATTTTTTTAAAAAAAGATCATTTTACAGATTTTCTAGTCAGTTAAGTTAAAAGCATTTCACTTCCAACAGGGACATTGTCTATATCTACCATATGGAAGTGACTTGGCATGGATTAAAGACATTTTCTTTGTTTCTATGTACCATAAAGTCAAATGACAATAAAATGCAAAAAGCCTGCAATTGCTCTCTATAAAGTTTAGTTCATGCCAGCTGAGTCCTTAGCTCATTAACAGTTTATGTCCAAAACAAACAATTTTAAGGTGTACTGACAATCTGCTGTATTGCTCTTTAACTTCTTGACTTTTGGAACTAGAACAAGAAACGGTGACTAGAAGATAAGCATAACAGGATATGGAGTTAGGAAAAAAAAATCAAGAGATAAAAATTCATGGATGGCTATATTGTTTCAGAAACTCACATCACTAGAAATGGCCTGATTCTGTTGTTCAGCCACTGGAGAGTCATTACTAATTCAAATAATGCAAGAATTAAAGTATTTCTTCTAAAGAATACAAGGATGTACCATAGCAACTCATAACAATGCTGTATTGTTTTCAGATATGTACCTACCTAATAGTTGCACTCCACGAGTGAGTCCATAGACATCAATCAAAGCCCACAATGGTTCAGTTGTCCTTACCCCACTGAAGAACAACATGGCAGCAGAATCATTCACGCGATAAAACACACGTCCCTTTTTATCCACCCAGAACGCTATGATATTTCCTTCATTTGCAAACTCTTCTGGAAGGGCCTTTGCCCAAAATCCACTTTGAGAAACCAGATCTGGGCATGCATACTTGGGCAGAGTTTCTGGGTTAATCCTAGAGGGATCCTTGGACGTAAATCCCAGTCGAAGAGCTCCACTCCAACAACACTGCTTCTTTGTGATCTAAAAACAGAACAAGATCAATATAATTACTTTGCCTCTTTATTAGGTATGCATAGGATTAAGAATATGAATGGATAAGGAATTTTAACACATTTAACAATCTGATGGTGGAGATATACGGACGAAGAAACTGTGCTTGCACAAAGCATGGAAATATGAATACAATATGTTATGAGATCTGTTTTTGAAAGGAATGAGGATGTGATACAAATACTGTAACAATAAGTTGTGTGTGGTTCCCAATCATCATGGTGATGTCTAGAGGCAATTTCACAGTAATTCCATTGTTAGTCTCATGTGTTCTGACCTAGGCTTCCTAGAAATTAAACAGCACAAACTTAGTGCTGGCAAACCTCTTTAATTCATATGGCTGTAAATTACCTTCATTTACAGTCTGCAAGGCTTGATAAACAGTCTTTCAGAGGAAGGTTATCAACACCCACCTATCTCACGTGGAACGCTGCTGAAGATCTAATTTCCAGGCACAGGGCAAAGTTGGCACAGAGTCACAAACAGAAGTTTCAAATCTTGAACCGGCCAGATGAACTAATTGCTTCCTGCAAAAGCTCACGTCCCATTTGTTTCTCTTTTATGTCTTATGGGAGGGGCCAATCATCTCCAAGCCTTATTCCCAAATCAACCCTGTTTCCTTAATTGTTCCTGTCTCCTGGCAGCTCTGTGCATGCGCACACTGGAAACAGGCTAACACTATTCTTCTGCTTCACTGAAGTCAGACTCTGGAGGCAGCAAAGAACTACCAGATGGCCTTGGCCCCCTCTCTGCCTCCAACTCAGAGCCATCATTCGAGCCTTCCACAGACTCCAGGACTGGCCCACGTTCGTCCCCAACCTCCTCACTGTCCAAATCTGCTGCCAGCTCTGCTGGCCGCTGGTGGGCCACAACACATGGACAATTTAATTCAACCATAACAGAGAAGGGACACCTTCCTGCTAAATTGAGAGAACTCAGATCACACCAACTCCACCAATCAAATCATTTCTGCAAAATATGGAATCTCTTTCAGTATGGAAACATATGGGAAAATACTGCAAAGGCTACCATATCAAGCCAATGTTTGTGTTAAAAACACAGCAAGTAGAAAGAAGCACCAACTCACCTTAAGTCTGATTTGCTCATAGATGACTATTGGCCTGTTGCTGAAGGTGATGGCGTTGCAGAAACTTGCCTGTCGCTTGACCACTTTCTGAGTGCTATCCATAATGATCTGTGACCCCTTGGTGTGAGGATGGAAAAGCAGTGGGCTGACAGAGAGAGTGCCACACTGTGAGATGGGTAGACAGTGCTTTTGCTTGTGATGACATCGATGAGAGGAAGCAGGAAAGGGCCCACCAATGGAATCTGAGACAAGAATAAGGACAGAGAGAGAGCTGATCTTTAAATCAAACAAAAAGGAACCACTATTAGTGAAAAACATTGAATGAAATCATTGATTAGCTATGAGACTATTGTAATTTATAAAAAAATGTATAAATTACAATAGTTACAGTATAACATAAACTACAATATAATATAAGTAATATAAATAATCACAATGTAACCATACATATTTAAGTCAAGGGACTATATGGCATTCAAAACACTTTTTTTAGCTTGCAAAATGTTCTTTAGTCACAATTGCTTAATATCAGTAATTCAAAATAAATTATGTAAAATAAATTCTAGATGAAACTACATATAGAAGGGAAAGAACAAGTGTACTGCATTTTCTGTATTTACTGTATTTCCCAGCAATTAGTCCCAGATTTTAACTAAAACTAGAAATCTTTAGAAAATATATAAGAGTGTATAGTAAAAATACAATGATGTTACCTAGCTGGGTAGTGAAACATCTTCAGGTAAACAACCAAGCTCAAAGAGCACCAAAGACTCCATAGTTGATATGGATGGATAGCATTTATGGCTTGCCATGAAAGCCTGGAAATAACCCTAACCCTAACCAATACAATATGACATACAGGCAATCCCTGGATTAAGAACATTCAATTTACAGACAACTCATACTTACAAATGGGCTGCCTATTACTTAAAATGGCAGAAAGTTGAATGTCAGTGTGATCTGGCTCAAAATGGTAAGGAATGTTCTCTTTCCTTGAACCAACAATTCTGCTGAAGCTATGCAATGTTTTCATGATGTGGTGCATGTGTTTTTAATATATAGCCTATTTTCAGTGGTTTTCGGTGATTCATAAAAACATTGCACATTGATCTGAATTCTGCACACGGTAATAAATTTTAGGTCAGGCACTAAATACAGGAAATACCATGGCAAATCAATTTGAAAGTAAATAGTATTGAGCACTGATACCTAATATTTGTTTCCCTTTCCTGTCCAGTAGTGTTGTGCAGATAAATAGAGATATGCTAAAACTTCAATTTCCATTAGTGTAGAATGCTCGCTGAGTGTAAACAGAAATTGACATTGGAAACACCAGCCATGTAAAAGGAGAATCTAGTTGTGAATATTTAATGATCATTGTTTATTTCTGTGGTCTACAAATCAATGTGAATGTTGTTTGCTTTCCTTCAATAGGCCTCTCAAGTAGTGCAGACTTTTAAAAAATCACTCTGTTGCTAAATATAAACTAACAGTTAATCTTTTGGAAGAAAGAAAGAAAAAATGCTGGTCATAGTATTTTAGGATTTAGTTCTGGAATATTTTTTAAAGTGCCAGTGTTCTCTTCTAGTTTAATTATGTTGTAAAGGAAAGCTTATCTCAGGCATATTTTCTATGCACATTGCTTTAACTTGGAAGCTATCCTATTAAATTTCAACAAGATTATAAATCAGAATTTGGTTCAGGGCTGGAAAAGGTGGAAGAAGCCAGGAACAATAGGAAGATAGGGAATGATAAAGAATCTTAATAAGAATTCATACAGAAATAGACAATACATAGCAATGGTACAGTGTATTAAATTCAAGAACAGCTATGAATTCTACAGTGCGTACCAAAAAGAAATCATGAGGTCTTTTGGAAATTGCATTGAATACTGGATAATTTGTTAAGGCACAAAAATAAATAATACATTTATTAGTCTCAATTATTCTTATCCACTCACTAGTTCATAGCATGGTCCTTAACATGCTATTCAAAGGTGAAGCAGAGTCCTGAACAAGGAAAAATATGTGCATGCTTCTGCTAATCTATTCATGAAGGAAAATACCACAATAGAAGTTTAGGAAGTAAAAGAAGTTTTAGAAGTAAAAAAACTGGAATCTTAAATTTTTCAGAAGAAAAAGAAAGCAAAATGGCAATATTTATATTTCTGAGAAAATGAACTCTTCCAGAAATTATTTCAATGTAAAATACGGTAATCTAATTTGAGATAACTTAAAGAAGTAGTAAACAAGTCCCAAATGACAGAAGAGAACCAAGAAAGTTTTAAAGAGCAAGAAAACTTTCTTGCAAGGTTATTTATTTTCTATTTTAACGTATGTTCTAAGTTTCAATAAATCTTTTTTATTGCCCAAATCAAGGAAACAAGAAGGAACACACATTCTGGCAAAAACTGTCAAGATTTTAAGGCAAAGGGAACTAATATTTGGAGTACTTACTCCTCAAAATATTATGTCAAGCAATAAATAAGTATAATACATCAGAGTGCTATAAAATTTGAACTGACCACTAGAACACAGGGAACAGGGAAAACTGTTAAAGGATACAGATTTGTACAGAACCTACATATTTATATATATTTAATGTGTTTAAAATAATAATAAAGAAAGATTACTAAGAGCAAAAACATCTTAACTGATATTTGCATTCTGCTAAAAAATAAAGGACTAATATCTGTGATAAGAAGCTAAGAAACATTCTGAGAGGAGACCTTGTTTCATTCAGAGTTTCTGGTGCCAGAATAAATGGTATTTGGTGTGTCCAATGCTGTTTCAGGGAGGAACAATGGAAGAGAATGAATATTTGGTTTATGTTTTCTTCTAGGCTAAGAACATAGCTGAAGGTGAAGATATTTAGAACTCTCCAGACCCTTTCATTTTTTCATTCAAAACAACTAGTGCTGCTAAGAGCACATCTAATAGATTGAATGCTTCACCTGCCATGTCAAATTTTCCTTTTGAGGCTACAACCCTTTTTTAATATTGGAGAGGAAAATTAGAAAAAAAATATCGTCTTCTGGATTCTCTTCACTGTTCTGCAGAATGAAAAAATATTTTTATTTATTTATTTGTATTTCATCCTTATTAGTTTTAGAAGTAATTCAAGGTAGCAAATGTATCCAATGCACCTTCCTGCTCCTATTTTCCCCACAATATCCTGGTGAGGTTAATGGGGCTGAGATAGAGTAACTGGCCCAAAGTCATCCAGTTGGCTTTCATAGCTAAGGCAGGACTTGAACTCAGGGTCCCCTGGTTTCTAACCTGGTGGCATAACCATGAGACCGAATTAGCTCTCTATTTTAAAGTAATTATAATAATTATTTGTTTATAATTTTAATATATGACCCTCTAACAAAAGTATCTATTATTAAAGTGGATCTTTTTAACTGAAGACTAAGAATTTATGCAATATTTGGGCAAAAGAGGACAGTGATTGGCCCAAGATCACCCAGCTGGTTTTCATGCTAAAGTGGGACTTGAACTCACAGTCTCCCAGTTTTTCATCTGGTGCCTTAACCACTAGACCAAACCGGGTCTCTTTATGGTGTGGGTGTTCTGATTTTCGGATCCAGAAAACATGTCCAACGTTTCCAATATTCCTTTTGCAAAATCAGTTTTTAAAAACTGACAAGTTAAAATGGAGTCATTTTGAAAACAATTTAGTTTATACACAGTGAGATTAATACAATTATAGCACCATCAGCTAGAATAATTATTTAATTCATGAATTCCTAAACAGAGAGATGACATTTAAAGGACAAAACATACTGTAGCATGCAAACTTATGCCTGAAAATGGTGAAAGCAAGAGTGTTTTGCAACAATATGCCAAGATACAAAATGAGCTAACCATGCTTTTCCCTATTTTGGTTTATTCTTGGTTTTGCTCTTACTTTTTTGTGCTTTGTACTGTATATGTTGCTTACCCTCAAAGAAAGTAGCAAGAGAAATATATATGTATGAATTAGCATTCTCTTCAGGCAATTAAGAAGCAGAGTTCTTAATTCTCTTCTTAGATTAATTTGAAGCAGTATCAACATAACTTGTCTTGGCGAGATGGGTTGCATAGAATCTTAATAATAAATGAACATTGCTTTCATTTTAAAACTCATTTCTCCTGATTTTGGTAAAGCAGTTAGGATCCATTTGAGTAAATGTAGATTGTAGAATTAGAATATTTATTTAATAAATTATTTATTAATTATTCTAATATTATTAGAATAAATTAGCAAAAGTTTCTGGTTTTGAATTTACCTTTTAAGTACCTTAAATTATCCTGTTAAAGTGAATGAAGCCTGATATAACAAGGAATGAAATTTTGTTAAGAAGAGCTAAAACTTCTATTCAGTTCTGAAATTAAATACAAATACAATTGAGGTCTCCATTTTGTACCAAGCTTGTGGTTAGTGGATCTTCAAGTTCCAATTTAAAAAAACAATACCACAGCATAAAATTTATCCTGCTTGAGAAAGGGTTGATTAGTGAATAGAAAATGAAAATTCCTGTTATGCGTCAATAAAACTTAAAAGTAAACACTTTGATGTAGTGGCTAAGGCACCAGGCTAGAAATGGGAAGATCCCGAGTTCTGCCTTAGGCACATAGCCAGCTGGCTGACCTTGGGCCGGTCACTTTCTCTCGGCCTTAGGAAGGAAGCAATGACAGATCTTGTCAATAAAACTGCAGAGTCTTGTCCAGGCAGTCGCCAGAAATTATAAACTCTCTTGAAAGCACCAAAATAAAATAAAGGCACAGCAAATCAAGTATTTTGTAGTAAAGCTAGTCAACAGGATAGAAGACTTTTGCAGGATTTGCACAATAAGTATGCATTTTGAATAAAAACAAATAAGTAGGATTTGCCTGATTATTTCTAAAAGAAAAAAAAAACCACAAGATGAGATCCCCAAAAATAGTGCTAACTAGGGTAGTTAGTGTAAGATACACCACTTTCCAAACAACGTACAGGTTTGGTTTCTCCGGAATTGTTAGATTAGCCTTTATTTGAATTTGCAAAATTTGCTGAAGTGGGCACGCCCAATAGTATGGTTTGTTTCCTGAAAACAAAACCCAACCACAACAAACACTGAAATAATTCATATGACAGTTTTCAGAACAAATATCATATGGACTTGCAACAGGGAAGGGAAGCTGTGTATGTTATACCGGTATATATAACAAAATGCTTTGTAAGTATATGGGGAGAACATTTTGATTAACATGCCTTTACT